TGAATTGTGAGTGAGAAGTGAGATCCCTTGGGCCTCAGCATAAACATCAGTTCCTTGGGGAAGCCTTCCCTGCGCCCTAGGCGGGCCTGGATCCCCTTGCTGTGTGTTCTCAGAGCTCCCTGTAGCTCTGTCAGAATGCACTGGACATTTATGTAGAGAGATCTGTCCCAAGGTGGGAGGTATAAATGTGGAATAAGGACCTCAGTCTCATTCGGATTACTAAGGCTTGGTATTGTCCATCTTCCACTTCAGTTTCATATTTGACTCCTCCGGTGGTAGCTCAACTAGTAGCTCTAAGGACTCTTACAGCCCATGTTCTTTTTATTCCGGGAGTGTTGAGATTGGGGTTAAGGGCAGGCATTTTCTTAGGGGGTTTCCTGTGATAACTGGGAGTCATAAGCAGCTTCCGTGGATACTGTGATCACTTGGGGGACCTGGGACTGTCAGTCCAGCTGACCCCAGCCTTTAGTCTCATGACACTTTACTCTTTGCCTCACACCTCACACCATGATATCTGCTAGCAAGTCAGTAGCCACAGTTTCATCTCTCCACAGTCCAGACTCTGGGGTCTGTGGCCCAGGCAAGATCCATTTTCCATATCTGTATCTCTCAAACTTGAAGGGCAGTTCTTGCTACACACTTTCTCTCCATACCACACCTACAATAGGAATCAAATTTAATAGGCCTGTGATAAGTATTTGTGGGTAAATGAAATAGGGCCCTGCTCTCACAGAGTGTACATTCTAGTTGAGGAAACAGGCCATAATAAATTCAATACATACACAGGAACTCAGTTTGTGATAAGTAATATGAACGGAAGAAATTGAGGGATGTGATAAAAAGTAGCCACCACAAGGAGGGGCTACTTTAGTGGAAGAATAAGTAGTGATCCAGGTGAGTAATGACAGGGGCTTCGACTAGGGGACAGCAGTGGAGATAGAGAGGCGGTACACCTTTGGTGGTTGATTAAAAGGGGTAAGAGGAAGAGGAAGAAATGAAGAATTCTCAACTAGATGAGCAACCAGGTGGATGGTGTCATTTACTGAAATGGGGAAGACTTGGAAGGCATGAATCAAAGTTCCATTTTGAACATGTTAAGTTTGAACATTTCAGGTCCACATGAATATGTCAAATAGATAATTCTGAAGCTATGAACTCAGGAGTCCTCTGCATATAAATGAAGCCATGGGGTTTACTGTGATTTGGAGAAGAGGCTCAAGTCTGAGCTGTGGGGCCCAATGTTGTTTAGAATTCCAGTTGAGAAGGATGAGTCTGCAGGGGGAGGGGTCAGAAGGGTCATCCAGAAATGTAAGAGAAAAACCAGGAAGTATAAAATACTGGAAGGCAGGAAAGGAGGGTGTTTTGAGATGGAGCAGCTGACAACATTCAGAGTCTGACCAATGGCTAGAAAAAAATCAGAATGCCAACCTGTTTTTTTCTGGTTCCCATTGGTGTGCTCTGGTTCTGGGGCACTTCCTACTCCACTAGAAATGCTCAGCCCAGACTTCAACTTCCCTTAAACATGGATCTACCCTAAAACATAGAAAATGTCTCCAAACCTAACCCAGTTATATACACACACTCACCATGCTCATTCATCCAATCACACAATTATTGAGTGCCTGTTATTTACCAGGCCTTGAGTATAAGATAGTGAGATGGGGGAACCTAGTCCAGGCACTCAAGGAGCCCTCAAGAGCCTACAGTGTATCAAAGAAGACAATCACCCAAATATATAGTTATAAACTGAGAGGTGCCATGAAGGAAAAGTATAGGGCACCATGAGAGCCTGTCAGTGTCACCTTGTTTAAATTATGCATGACATGCACGGCATCCATCTTTCACACACAATCTCTACTGTGCCACAAGGCCACCCTGAGCAGACTTGGGGGACTGAGTCTAGTCTCAATCCTCCTATAAATGTGCCTGTTTCCTCTTCTCTACAATGAAAGGCTGAAAGGTAGACTGGATCACAGATTCTTAACTTAGGGCCCGTGGATGGGCTTCAGGGATACACAAATGAATGGGAAAATGTGCATTGTTTTTCCTTCTGGACAGTAAACCCATAGCTTTCATCAGATCCTTAAGAGGTGTTGTGACCCAAAGAAACCCAAGGACCTAAGGATTAGATAATTGTGTGATGTGAGCCAGGACAGATGACAAAATGATGCACTTTGGAACTATTTGTTTCTTGGATACCATACCCTTCCCTTGACCTTGTCAGTGTGTAGAGTAATAGAATAGAAGGCCTGATCCCTCTTCTATGGATGGTTAAGCTTAGTTACTATATGAAGGTACCTTAGAGAAAGAATGGGAGGAATCTACCATTGGTGGCTACTCTCCTGGAACAAAACAAAGAAAGGTTCCCACCCCACAAAGGAAGTCTCTATTACCCTAGTGTCACCTGCTCCATGGTCACCTGCCCTGGGTCCACTCCATCAGATCCATTCGTGGCTGGAGTATAGTCACAAATGTATGTCCATACTAGAGGCAAGGTTGGGATGTTTACACAATGAAATTTTCATTTGAAACTAAAGGGAATGCTCCCCCTCAAAAGAAAGCACTTTGAGATTAACTGATGTCTGTGAATTAGAAATTCTTGATTCAACTTGTAATAATGTCTAGACAAAAGACAGCTGGTTTGGCACAGTCTTTTGGACATTAATATCCTGTCTCTTCCTTGTCTCCTCTAAGAGGAGAGATTCCCATGGGTGCTCTCTGAGGTCAGGTAGGTTTCCAACCCTTCCAGAACCTGTGCCTTGATCTGTCAATGGTTGGCCAGACTATGGGAAAGAGAGGCACTTTCTTTGGGATCTAAAAGGTTTCAGGTACATGAGTTAGAGGTATGTGTGGGGTAGGAGGGACAAAAAGGCGGAGACAGAAGCCTGTGCATAGCCATTGTGTTTTTATTGGATCTGGTGTATTTCTTATTTTACAAAATATACAGAGGAGCCAAAAATGCAAAGCAGTCAACAGTGTTCTGATGGGAAAGGGAGCTTCCCAGGGGCCCTTCCCCTTGATCCTAGCTAATGGGACAAGCAGGTATATTAAGGAGTGGCAGCATGGCAGGGATGCTGTTGATGATATGGGACCTGGTTCCTATGATTCCTGACTTCTAGGTGTGTTCAGGGGCATCTCTGGGTAGATTTAATAGAGCAAGAGGCGACACTAGATGGGAATTGGGGGGGCTACCTGGGGGGTTGAACTAAAGCCTGGGTAGATCAAAGATTCTAATGAATGCCCCCCACATTGGGTGTAGATGCTATGCCTGCCTCCCTCCTTCCCTTTTCTTCTAATGCATCCACTGGGTGGTCCCTAACTCACTCCATACTGGTAGGCTGAACCTTTGGCAGGAATTAGCCAGGATATCTCCCAGCCATATTCTTCTGCTGCCACCATACAAACAGGAAGGAAGGAGAGAGAAAAATGCTAGGGATGAGCCAGACTTCACGATCCCAGAATCTCTTGGCATACTGAACATGGTATGGAAAATTTCTGGGGTGTTTCTAGGGAGCCAAGGTCTTCTAAAGAGCCTGGAAACTCATATTCTGGTGGCAGACCTGTGGAGCTCAGAGTCATAGCCTTAGCTCTCACCATCTCTAGGCCTTTCTGCTTTACACTCCAGCTACTTCCTAGGACTTAACCATTGCCTGAAGCCTGAGAGTTCTCCCTTGTCCCTCTCCTAGGGAGCTCTCTGAGGCCCTGGTCTGAAAGGCCAATCAGTGCCAGGGACAGAGCAACCTGTCTGAGAAGGAAAATGTTTATGATATCAGGGATGGGAGAAGCACCATAACAGGAGAAATTTTGTCTAGTGTTGTGGTTTCTAGAGTGGGGATTGGAGGTGGAGAACCACTTAATTCCTTCAGCAGGGGCATCCTCAGCACGGTCAGGGAGGGAGTGGGAGCTGTTGGGAATTGGGAATACCAGCTGATACACTCTGCCTACTCCCTGGTTCCTTCGGCTCCAATGATCTGAACCACTGAATCCCCAGGCTCTTGGATTCCTACAGGCCCTAGGGCAGGTCTAGGGTGAGGAGAGAGCTAGGAAGAGAAAGATGAGGTCCAACTGGACTAGGGCTAGAGCATGGCCCCCCCAGGACAACTGATCCCCTCTCCTGGTGAGCTAGATGACATTGTCAAAGAGCTGCATGGACCTCATGATGTTCTCATCCTGTAGCCATGGTGTGAGAGAGGCAGATTGGAGAAAGAAAGAAAAAGAGCTTGTCAGAGGCAGGGAGAAACACAGAGAGGCAACGAGGAAGGAGACACCCAGAGAGACCAGAGGTGAAGAATGGCAGGCCTCCCCCAGTTGTGAAGGAACAGGATTGGGAGTGGGGGTGAGTTAAGGAGCCTTCTCCTATATCATTGAGTTAGGCCCTGAATCCAGACCAGGGAAATGTGGAGGGTGGGGACCTGTACCTTTTGACAAGATTCAATGAATTCCTCAATGGTCACCACGCCATCCTTATTCCTGTCCATCTTCTGCAAAAAGGTAGTTGGGAGGGAGAACAGGATGGATGGCAGGAGAGAGGCAGGTAGAATTCAGGCAAGTTCCCTACTGGGACCTCACCTTCTCTTCACTCCAGGACCCTCCAGCCTACCCAGTCCCAAGCACCTGGAAGAAGCTCTCCACATGTTCCCTTGGGGCCTCCTCTCGGAGTGCAGGATACGTATACTTGCCCATCATGTCATAGATGGACTTCATGATATCAAGCATTTCCTGTTAGACCAAGAAAAAGAAAAATAGGATCCCTCTTCAGAGCCTCTAGCCTCCAAACCAGGAGGCCGAGGCCCTAGGCAGGCATCACCCTGCTGGTGATGCCTATGTGGGTTACATTTCCTTCCTGTGGGCCTTTTACACCTCCCCTCCAGCTCTTCAGTTGCCTTGCACACCTCCTTGGTGATGCAGCCGTCCTTGTTGAGGTCATACAGGTTGAAGGCCCAGTTCAGCCTGTCATCTATGGTTCCCCGAAGAATCACTGACAAACCAGCCACAAAGTCCTGGGAAGGAGGCAGGGGGGAAACATGTCTTTAGACACCCTTAACCCAACCTCCTCTCTGGGTTTGGCCTATACATTCTGCCCTGAAGCCCTAGGCCTCCCTGCCCCACCTCCTCCAGCTTACCTCAAAATTGACTGAGCCATCATGGTTGGTGTCAAAGGCATTGAAGAGAAAAGTGGCATATGTGCTAGAGTCTGCAGAATATGTGGGGATCAGTCAGCTTGACTTCCAGACAGCAGAGGGCTTCCTATCTCTATGGGATTCCCCAAACACCTCTTACCATTGGCATTCCCAGCCCCTCCAGAACCCTCTCCCCAACTCAGCCTAGAGATGAACAGCTGCTTCCTTGCAGGCCTGTCCCCTCACCTCCTTGAGGAAAGAACTGGGAGTAAATCTGCTTGAAGTTCTCCTCACTGACAATTCCGCTGGGACATTCCTGGGGAGGGGGGAGACCAAACTGAAGACAGAGACAAACCCCCTTCTACTGACTCTTCTTTCAGACCCCGCTCTCCTCCATGCCCAGAGAGTCCCAGGCAAGGACAAAATCTTCATGTCTCCCAGAGGCTCAGCATGCAGCTTTTCTAATGGGAGGCAAGACTGCTCCCAGGACTCAAATAAAATATAATATAATAAAATAAAAAACACAGAACTAACCTGACAGTCTGGTCTGCCCATCTCAAACAGGCCAGAACTCCGGCTAGAAGTTCGGCCTGGGAGGGGAGGAGGAGGGGGTTCTCCTTGCGCCTCCCCTTCCCTCTCACACCCCAAAGCCAGGCCACCTTCCGAGAAGTCCTGGATAGGCCCCGCCCTCCTGTTGTCCCACCCCTCACCCAGTTTGGCTGGCCTTGCACTCACGTTCTTGAAGCCTCGGTACAGGACCTGCAATTCTTTGCGAGTGAACTTGGTTTGCTCTTGCAGCTGCTCCAGACCCTCGGGCCGGTGACACACGGTGGACAGTTCAAAGTCATCCTCCACGCTGTCTGCGAGGGTTAGGGGGGACGAGGGGAGGGAGAGCCGAGCCTCAGGCCCGGTCCCCACAACCCTTCTTCAAAATCACGGACCCATACATCCCCCTTATCTCCAACTCCAGAGACCAGCCTGCCAATTCACTGGACCCCACGCCAAGGACATGAAGGCAAGGAGAGAAGACACTGGTCAGCTTCGAGGTCTATCAGCCCAAGGACAGTGCCTGGTCCCAGAGCCAGGGATCCGACCCGTCTCAGCCCCCTGGGCCCTTGGTTCCTGGTTGGAGGGAAAAGCCCCAATCCCATCTTCATCCCAGAAGGGGTTGGAGTAGTAAAGACAGGTTCAAGCTCTGGGACTTCCCGCACCAACTCAGATCTGCCCAGTCCCAGGCTTGCCTTTTTCCAGATCCTTCCTTCCTACCAAACCCCGCCTACCCCAGCCATGCCTGAGCCATGCCCCGCCCAGCTCCAGCCAAGCCCCATCCAGACCCCACCCCTGCCTCCGCCCTGGGTAAATCTTAGCCAGGGCCCCACCCTCGGCCCCATCTCAGTACCCTCCCCAGCCCCCAACATC